GTCCTTTGATAAAGCAATATCCATCAACGTATTTATTTTTTAATTTTATTGTGTTTTAGGTGGACATTTACAGAGCAGATTAGTTTTTCATTCAAAAATATTATACACAAATTGTTTTGTGACGTTAGTTGCAATAATACCCATCAATATTAAACATCTATATCTGCTTTGACCTAAGATCCTTGCTTTGGGGATTCAATTCTATAGAAGCAAATGCGTCAGTTCATAGGACCTACATACATGGAATTGTGTGAGAAAGTATGTGTGTGTGGGAGACAGGGAGAGAGGGAGAGAGTGTATGTGTGTGTGTGAGAGAGAGAGCGTGTGTGGGTGTGGGTGTCTGTGAAAGACAGGGTGGGTGTGTGAGAAAGAGTACATGCGTGTGTGGGAGAGAGAGTGTGTGTGTCAGAGGGTCTGTGTGTGTATGAGATAGAGTGTATGTGTGTAAGAGTGTGTGAGAGAGAGAGGGACAGAGAGAGATCGTGAAAGAGGGTGAAGAAAAGATAGGAAAAAAGAAGAGAATTTTCGGGTAAATAAATGCCCACATTTATGTTCCTAAGCTTGGGATAGATTTCTGAACCGGAATCAAATGCTAAGCAAAATTCCAAGACTGTTTATACCCTGGAAAAGATGGAATAGGGCCAGGGGTATAAGAGAAAAACTTTCATCATTCCAGGCTCAATAGCTGGTGTGTTGCAATAATGTTCAGAAGAACCACAGACAGCTGCTCTGACTTAAGCATGTGACAGCCCCTAGGAAGACAGTAACTTTGTAACATTTCAATGGACACTCCCACAGATGGATGAAGAGTTTTTTTGTTTTTGTTTTTGTTTTTGTCTTTCTAGAAGGCAAGTGTGCCTTTCCATTCAGGTATAAGCGGAGAACATTCTATTCTTGCATCAGGAGCTCGTCCAAACATGACTGGTGTTCGTTAAATAAGACTTACCAAGGCTATTGGAAGTATTGTGGTAAACAAGGTGAGTGTCTTGCCTGTGAATACCTCCAGGTGGTAATCTGGGCACTGGGGTTGAGACTGGGTGAGATCCACAAGAGGATTCTGGAAAATGGAATCAATAGCCAAGGTACACAGAGCTTTCCGACAGTATAAAAATCACGTTGCACCGAAAGTATATTATGAGCACTTCAACCCCATTACCTTGAAAAGAGATGTTTTTGTAAAATATCAAAGTAATGGGGGATCTCAATCCTCCACCAATATTGTCATCGTGTGGTTTTGGTGAAACGCGGCAGAGTAGATGATGCTGAGTGGGAAGCAAAAGTGTGCTTGTGTGAGTTGTGTGCACGTGTGTGTATTGTGGTGGGGCGCAAATAAAAAGATTTTTTATTCTGATTGCTTCTTTCCTTTCGGTAGACATTGCAGACTGTGCGTTTCCCTTCTGGTACAAACGCATGATCTACCGGGAGTGTACTGACGATGGGAATTTGTTTGGGAAAAAGTGGTGTTCGTTGACCCAGAATTTTAATAAGGATGGAATTTGGAGATATTGTGATTGATGGTGAGATTTGCGCTCGACTGCTAACCTAAAGGTTGGAGGTTTGAACCCTCCCAGTGGCACTGTGGAAGAAAGGCCTGGCGATCTGCTCCCGTAAAAATTACAAACAAGAAAACCCTATGGAG